TCTAATCCCAGCTCAACGGAAAGCTGCTGAGCATACCAGAGTGCGGGCATGAAGCCCTCGTTATGCAGCAACTCCATGTTAAGGGTGAGTTCAGTGTCCCGTTGATTATCCATCAACAAATATTCCGTGTCTGAAATTGTATACAGGAGGAATCTTCTGTCTTGGAAAACCTCGTCGGGGCCGCATGGCTGTTCGTCACCTGGGTACGGTTGAGCGGCTTGCAGCATCAACGCGGTGTAAAACGCGTACAAGTCCCCAATGGGCTTTGGCGGCCCTCGGTTGGTGACACACCAGCTGTCTTCGGATACAGAATTTAGCTCTGATATTAAATCAAAGCTTTCTTCGGACGAAGCGTCTAACGTTTCAAGGGGTACCTCGCCCTCCACGTCTTCGTTCAAATCCATCCGCAAGGCAAAGGCCTCGAAAACCGTCGATTCGTTTAGGGCATCACGTGAAGATCCAGATGGTATGTGAATAGCATGCGAGTTAAGTCCTGGAGGCTTACCCTTCTTCTTTGAAGGGACCGAATTGTTCTTCGGGCAATTACGCGAGAGATGACCGGGCTCGTTACAGGTAAAGCAAAGGCCTTTGGCTAACATCTCGTTGCGGCGCTGAGGTGTCATTTCACCAGATTTATCGGATTTCCCGTTCTTCTCGGGAATGCCCACTGCAGACGTCCTCCACACCTCTTCTCTAGGTCTGGAGAAGTGCGTCCGCCCTCCACGGCCACGGCCACGGCCGCGGAATCCTCCGCGCGAATGACGGCTATTTTGGGAACTGGCCTCGTTAGTCTTCTCAGACTTTTGAGGTGGCGTTGCGCCACGTTTTGAAGTACCTACACCGGAATCCTGGTTTCTATTGACCAGTTTCAGAAGTACTTCAGCCTGTTCACCCGCCTTAACGACCTCGTCCCAGGTGTTAACCTCGGGATCGATGTTTTTGCGGTAAATTTCCGTCTGAACAGGGTAAGTGAAGCTGTTGAACAACTTCACAATTTTCTCTTGAGTATCTTCTAACCCAATCGTATTCCAGATGTGCGACCATTCTGCAACATGCGCGGCAACGGTCTTACCACCCTGGAAGCAGCGATTTAATTGCTTGCGCTGCGCATTTCGGAAATCAACCGGGAAACAAAACTCAAATAGTTCTATGTAAAACCTCTTCAGGTCCCAATTCTTTTCGTCCTTGCTGACGACTTGGTTATAGAAATTGAGGGCCTTGCCGTCCAGGAAGTACGATATGTAATACACCTGCTGGTCATGAGGTACGCGTCCCATTTTTACATAAGTCGTCGATTCCCTGGCAAACCGCTGAATGGCATTTGCGTCAGGCTCGCCATTGTACCGCGTCGGGGGAATGGGCTTCAAGATCATGCGCTTCTTACGTTCGTGCCCACGCTTACGTTTGGACGACAAACGCGGGCTCGAAGCTCCTCGTCGCGAAGACCCATGGTCGCCATGACCCGAGTGGTGCGAACTTGCGTCCGACTCCGAGCTCGAGTCGTCTGATGGGTCATCAGGCGAGGAGGAAGATGCTCCTTGAAGGGCCTTCTCGAAGAAATTCAAGGCGGCCATCCTTCCCGGGGTCGTACCCCGCGGTAGTAGAGTCTCGCGCGCCGTTGGCGTGGAGGTCTCGGTGTTGTGCTGTGAGTTGTCATTGGCCTTTGACAACTTCCTCTCAACACCCTGCCTTACTTGAAGCTCAATCACCTTGTCAGTGACAAGAGCGACAATTTCCTCAATGCTCAAGCTAGGTTTGGGCTCGCGTTCATGTTCCGCGTCGCGACCTAAGGCAGGTAAGGATCCTTCAGGTTTCTGAAGTCCCAGATTTGTGAACTCAACTTTTGCAGCTGGTTTCACAGGCGCCGCCACAATTGGAGGTTCGTCAACCTTCAACGCGCGCTGCGGCGCTTCCTCGCGCGTCCTAATCTTCTTTGATTTAGGACTCTTGGAGCGTTTACGAGCTCCAGCCTTCTGCGAGGAAGTATGGTGCGGGACAAAGTCCCCGAGGTAATCAATTGGCATCGACTCCTCCTGTTGCTTAATACGATTAATTTCTTCGTAGTTAGCGAGCGCCTCGCGTTGAGCATGCAAGTCTGCCTCGGAAAATCCGTCCAAGTCGGACACGCCTCCCCAGTTACGGGGATCTGCACCTTTGCCCTTACGAGAAGGTCCAGCTACAGGGCTGGCGGACGCGGCGAACGAGCTGACCGAAACTCGGGAGTCCAAGTCAATCAAGTCCTCCGCGTCCTCGAGGATTGCATGCGACAACGGCGCTTGATTAAGGTAAGGATAATCATCCTCATCTTCCACTTCCTCCATCGTAACAGGATGGTAGGCAGTGCTCTCCCTAACCGGGTTAAAAGCTCTGCGAGCTTTATCAACACTCGGTAGGTTCCCCTCATTCTGGGTGACCTTACTCTGAAGAGTTGCATTAGACACCGGAGTACGCGCCAACAAGGCAGCGCGATACTGCGCGGATATCGCTTCGTGACGGCGGACGAGAGCGTCGAGATGCTCACTGCTCATGTCGTTAGTCGCGCGAGCGATGGTGGATTCGGTCTCGTATTCAGAAGAATTAGATTCAGAAGCACTACCATCGGTACTATCATTCCTATTCGAACTGATATGACGCTCACGATGGGTACGCGAGGTCCTACGAGAAACAGGGGTCCAGCCCCCATCGAGGTCCACCAGCGACGCCGAGGTTGGCCCACCGGCGTCGAATCTCTCCTCGCTCGCAGTGAGCAAGGGCAACTCCGAGGAGTAGTCAACCGCCGAAGCAGTGACAGGTCTCGCCACCGCAGGAGCGGTGGCGGACGCGCCCACCGGAGTGGACGCAGGTCTCATCGGCACGGCCGCACCGATGGAAGGGCTCCCAGCGAGCCTGTTCCGGACAGATCCGAAGGCAAGGATGGGGCTGTAGAGAGGAGGGGGAGCGGGGTGGATGCCGGCGCGAACGGCGGCACGGGTATTGGGTATCGTGGTATTCTTGTTGTTGTTGTCCATAGCTGAGTCTTGGTGTTATAAAATGTCGAAGCCGGCGGTAGTCGAGGTTGATCAGACCAAGGGATAACCAGCGAAGCAGCGACAGGGGTTAACACTTAAAAAGATGTGACGGAGAGAGTCGGCTAGATAGTCGGCTAGATGTCGGCTAGGTAGTCGGCTAGGTATTCCGGCACACGGGAGTTCGTTTGCTGCTTGGTCGAGCAGCCGGGATAAGTGGAATAATGTAGTATTGACCAAAGAGTAACTACGGACATCCAATGTATATATAGTGACACAAGTCAGGGGTCAAACCGAAACGGGATAGGGATGATGGTAGGTAGGTATCGGGCGCGAGCGCCGGGGTAGCGAGCGGAGTAGATAGTAAATAAGAGAGTGATAAAGGAATGTGGGGTGTGATAGAAATAGAATGAAGGCGCGAGAGCGCACCGTTACATGAATGCCAGTCCAGATGCACTATTTTCGAATCTTCGTAACGCTCAGAGCGCATCTGCGGTTCATCAAGGCGTGATATGGTGTTCATAGCAGGGGAAGCCCATTCGACTCGGGCCCGAGCCATTTTTTCTTGGTTATTCTCAGAGACTTGCCACTGGACCGCGATCTTTAGTTGGGGTGGGGCCGTCGGGGTCATTGAGGAGGGGCGTTGTGCTCATGACGCGTCGGCGCCGAGCTTGCGGACGGAGCGCAGCATGCGGGTGCGCTCATCGCTGGGCAGCAGGTTCGTCGTGGGCGGCTTGATAGCAGCCACCATCGAGGCAAGAGGAAGAAAACCAAGGGGCAGATGAACAGACGTGCACAGGTTGCCATGGTGATCGACGCAATTTCATCGAAATACAAGTCAAGACGGGAGCAGTGGAAGATGTGGTATTGGTTGAACTAGGTTGGAAATACGAGTACAAGGAGGGTTGGAAAATGCGAGGTATGTAATAGAAAAACGTTGAAACGCGCCATCAGTGCGCCGATGTGTCAAAATCAGTGGCAGTGCAGGCATCACGCGCATCAATTTCCGCTGAACCCGCCCCTCGCATCTGTTAATTCAGCTCCTTCCGGCGTTGATGAAAACTTTTCGCTTGCACTGTGAGGGTATGTAGCTTTTCACGTCCTCGATCAATATCATGAGTCGTAGCTGCAGAAGACTTACTCCCAGATACTTTCAGATAGGTCGAGTGTATAGGCTTCTATATAGTACACATTTCTTTCCGGCATCGGCCGCTAACCGACTCACTTGGCAGGGAAGCAGATATACCGCTGAAGGCTTGGTAGCGCCGGGCGCATCTGCAATCAATTGTCCAGAACACATCATCAGAGTACAGCAGAAGGAGCGCGTTCGACTCGCGTCCAAGCCATGCGCACATGCCGCAATCTTTTTTCTTCTTCCTTCCTTTTGCCTCCCACTCATGGAATGCCAATAAATTCAAGCCCCAATACACGGATAGGAAGGCTTGGTAGCGCTCGGAGCGCGTCTGCATTTCTTGAGGGTAGTCACACGATATTCATAGCAGAGCGAGCCCGTTCGACTCGGGCCCGAGCCATTCTTCGGTAGGCATTTTTTTTTTTGAAGGGCTCTCTGGCGTTCTTCCTGTTTTGTGTGTCCCTTAACTACGCAACGGAGGGTGGCTATTTGGAACGAGTTCAAGCAATTCTGCTGCAGCTGAGAGACCTATCCAGACCTATTCTCACCTCACCTGCATTTTCCCCTCCTCACTGTTCACAACACATTGAACCATGGCACTCCTAAGTCGCTAAAAACGCGGGGGTAATTCGCTAATCGACTCACTTTACAGGAGGTAGATACACCGCTCAAGGCTTGGCAGTACTCGGAGTGCATCTGCATCTGCTTCGTGGAGATGACTGTTCAGTACAGCAGAAGGAACGCGTTCGACTCGCGTACGAGATTCTTTTGTTCCTCACAACACATTGAAGCGCGGCACTGCTACATTTGGGGGTAATTTCGCTACCCGACTCACCTCACAGGGAGGTAGATATACCGCTGAAGGCTTGGTAGCGCTCGGAGTGCATCTGCATCTGCTTCGTGGAGATAACTGCTCAGTACAGCAGAAGGAACGCGTTCGACTCGCGTCCAAGCCATTATCCGGGTTGTCGTTTTTGCTTTTTTCCTTCCCAGTTCCAATTCTCATTTCGCGCAATACTAATGAATCCGAGCCCGGATACACGGACAGGAAGGCTTGGTAGCGCTCGGAACTTATCTGCCGTTCATGACGTGGAGCCATGGATATTGCTCATGGCAGATCGAGCCCGTTCGACTCGGGCCCGAGCCATTCTTCTGTAAGTGTTTTTTTTTTTTGAGGGGCTCTCTGGTGCTCTTTTTTTTTGTGTCTACCGCAACTACGTAACGAAGGTAGCTATGGGATGGTGCCAGTCCAAGCCATTCTGTTGCAGGCGAGAGACCTATGTGCACCTGCATTCTTTCGCAACACATTGAGCCTTCAAAATGCGCTTCAACGCGGGGGTAATTTCGCTAACCGACTCACTTTACAGGGATGCAGATATACCGCTGAAGGCTTGGTAGCGCTCGGAGTGCATCTGCGTCAATTGCTTGCGGGGAAACAAATGTGCAGTACAGCAGAGGGAACGTGTTCGACTCGCGTCCAAGCCATTATCTGGGTCGTCGTTTTACCTTTTCCTTCCCAGTTCCAATTCTCATTTTAGCGCAATGCCAATGAATTGGGGTTCTGATACACGCATAGAAAGGCTTGGTAGCGCTCGGAGCGCATCTGCATTTCTTAGGGGTGTTTACACCATATTCGTAGCAGAGCGAGCCCGTTCGACTCGGGCCCGAGCCATTCTTCGGTAACCATGGTTTTTTTTTTCAGGGCTCTCTGGTGCTCTTCCTTTTTTGTGTCTACCGCAACTATACAACGGAGGGTGGCTATTTGGAGCGAGTCCAAGCCATTCTGTTGCAGGTGAGAGATATACTCTCACCTGTATCATTATTCTTTCCCTCCTCACTGTTCACAACAAATTGAACCATGGCACTCCTAAGCTGCTAAAAGCGCGGGGGTAATTTCGCAATTCGACTCACTTTGCAGATATATACATCGTTGAATGAATGCTTGGTAGCACCGAGCGCATCTGCAATCAATGGTATCATGAAGAGCTAGACAGTACAGCAGAAGGACCGCGTTCGACTCGCGTACAGGCCATTCGTGTGGAACTACGAGATTTTTTCTTCTTCCCGTTCTTCGCCCCACTTTCAATTCCAATTTAAGCTAATGAAGTCAAACCCCGATACACTGATATCAAGGCTTGGTAGCGCTTGGAGCGCGTCTGCATTTCTTGGGGGCAGTAACATGATATTCATAGCAGAGCAAGCCTGTTCGACTCGGGCCCGAGCCATGTTTCTGTACGCGTTGTCTTTTTTTTATTTGAGGGGTTCTCTGGCGTCTCTTGTGTGTACCTCAACTACGTATCAGGGAAACTAGGGAGCTCGAAACGGAGTGGTTATTCACGGAAGGAGTCTGGTGAGAGAATCGCCTTTTCTTCTTCCTGCCTGCCTTCCCCAATTCAAATTTCAGCTAATGAACTCAAGCGCCGATACACCGATAGGAAGGTTTGGTAGAGAAAGCGGTCCATGTCGATCTTCGCTTCCAACTTGGTTGTTGGATAGAGATCTTGAATCGGAGGTTTTTTTTGGTTCAGTGCATTTTCTGCATCCATCCCTTTTCTCCTTTTCTTCTATGTATTTTGCGCCGAGAAGCGGGTAACAAAACTTTCGTGGACCATGATAGTAGCCTCGATTCCGTCCAGAATGTGGAAAGAAAGTATGTAACGACAAAGTGGCGGTCTGAATCCTCCCAGAGAAACTTTGTTGGTCCAGTAAGACCGACGAGGAGAAGGCGGGACCCTTCGAAAATTTTTTCTGCACTATCTAACATCAACTGGTTCTCATTAAAGCAAGAGATAAAGCACGAAAGCCTCCAGGTACCATGGTGGTTGCCTCCATTACATACATAAAACACGGCTTAACGAGGCGTCGGAGATATAGTATTTGGAGTTGAACCTTTTTAAAGTTCGGATAAGGCGAGTCGGGGATATTCATACAGCGAGAAGGGAAGCAAGAAGCCTGCATAGACCATGGTGGCTGCCTCGATTGCATGAAGAATTATTGAAGGCTGAAAAGTAAGCGGAAGCTCGGAAGCGTGTCGTAATTAATTTGAACCCATCCAGTTTTCTTTTCCCACCCACTCCCATGCCAGACCGCGCGGACGTGATGGCTAGGAGATACTTCTTACAGAAGTTTCGACAACGATCATACTTGCACCTCACGCGGCCCCGAAATTAATTGTATCCCACATTCATCTCACCCTTGCCGTTAACAGGCCGCCACCGGTCCACAGGGTAGAAGAGAGCTCACGGCAGGGTGTTATAATTTGCAAGGCGGGTGCCGGGCTGGTAGTTTCCCGCATACACGTTTTATGCATCTCTACGTTGGATTCTGTCTTCATCGGCATGTGTGCTGCGGATCCTAGGAAGGACGAATCCAAAATCGGGCGCTGTCGGAACATAAGAATCAGAAATGTTCCACGTTCGATACCAGAGAGTCGGCTGCAGTAGCAGACGCATACTTACTAATTTCCGGACCTCTAGGAGGCGTTCTCCGAAGCAAGAAATCCTTCGTCGCGGGAGGTTCTCTGCAACAGCCCGCGAGAGCATAGAGCTTCGAGTATTTGCTGCTCGTCCCAACTAGCGACCCGACACAGAGACGTACGAGACCGTCTCGCAGAAAAGGATGATAATCGCGATACGAAACATCGGCAAGACTGGCTAGCCCGAGGACCACCCAAAAACTTTGGTTGATGTGTGATCGCCGTGACTGCGGCAGAGTCCAGCTAGGTCTTCGCAAGCGGAAGTCCACCCGAGTCGTACTCGCATACGCCCGGAACAACGGAATTACCTACTTCCCAACCCGAGCGATCTGCAGCTGAGGTAAAGATGAATGATGGTTCGGAAAGAGAAAAGCTCCCGGGCTTCTGGATTCATTAGTAAGGCACCGCAATCGAGTCGTTGTTTCCCAGGATCAGCTCACGGGTCGGCATTGGTGGACGTTGCGTGGATATGCAGTTACGTCGCATCGGAGAGAGTCGGCCGATCAAATCAGAATGGTTTTTGGGCGAGCTCGAGTGTCTTGAAGAGAAGGAAATTTTCCTTTTCGTATACGTAGTCATTGGTGTACTCATAGCGATAGATTCCATAATCCACTTATACGTCATTCGATACGAGTGTTTCTTGTTTTGTGTTTCGCCCCGCTTTGCAAAAATATACTATTGTATAACGAATCAGGGTGGCATCTCAAAGCCCCTCGTGTAGCACGCGACGCCATGCTGTTAGCATTATCAATGAATTAGATACATAAGTAGTTGCACCAATTTTAGCCTTGATTTTAGCCCCGACACGGCGTCTGTTCCTGCGCCAAATATATTGCTAGCCGGTTGATCACACTTTTCTTCCAAGTGCTACGTCAGAGACTGGTCGACAGATGCAGAAGCTGGCCCAGAACAGAACAAACAAAAAGGCGGTTGTGGCCCTCTTGTGCGTGGCAAGTCCAGTGTGAAGATTACTTTCGTGCAAGTATGCCGCCATCGCCGAATATTCGGCTTCTGGCAAGCTAAGGCATGTCTATCTTTGCAAGTAATGCTCGACCGCAGATGCGAATGTCAACCCACATTTATTAATAAATTCACTGTGTGAACGGATAACGGGGAAGCCGTATGGTGTTTGTAGCGAAACGCACTGTCAGCCTATATTGATAGACCTCTTCCAATTCCAGAAGCCTGAGAATGATATGACAGAATTCCAGACGACCATGTAAAAATTTGCGATCACGGTATCCGTGCTATCTGTGGCACGATGTCCGGCTGACTAGGACCCTGCTCGGCGAGATAGATAAGGTTCATAGATCAGCAATGAGGCAGAAGATTCGTCGCAAGTACAGCTGAGCCGGTAGAAACGACGGCCCATGGCACGGTCTGGCTCAGAAATAATATTCCGTGCTGGTTATGGATTAGTCTTACTTATCTGTTACTGAGCTGGACATGCAAAGTGCCCGGTTGAAAGTCGTTGTGATCCCCGGGTTTCGGGTATTTTTGTAGGCTTTAATTTCCTTGGCGTGCGCGGATATTTGCCCTGGTGGCTGGGACAAATATCACGAGGCCGAAGACCCAGCACCGCAAGCTGTTTAGCAATAGACCCACGGGTTGTCTTAAAACCGCACTCAGCCCACATTTCTCACATTGCGCAAATTATTGGATAGCCGGTGCCGTAACGAGCTTATTTGAAAGGCACTCACACTGCGGGTAGGTAGCCCGACACATCAGTACAAGTTCTCGAACGCTTTGAATAATGAGCATAATTCTTGTGGGTTCAACTATCCGATTCGACACAGTACGAGAAATGTTTGGGTTGATAGCGAGGGCAAACTAGATTACAACACGGAATTTGTCGAGGACACGACGGTCGTCCGAACCAATGGGACGGTAATGGCTACGGGATGCTGCCGGTAAACTTATCTGTCTGGGCGGCAAATATCCCAGCGCAGATAAGGAGGGGAGGGTGATCGGTGAACGTGAGGGTGTAAGAGGAGGAAGAACTTGCCCAGGAAACTGCTGCAAGTTTGCCGGAAAATGTTCCAGCTCGCAGTCGTCAGGACTAATAACCGGCGACATTGATCTTTCGGTGGAGGAGGGACTTCTCCCACCCGGCATCATGAGTTGCAGAGGTGGAGGAAACCGCTCGAGGCTCCCGTTAACCGCCCGGCTACTATCAACGAACACGTCGCTGGGAACGCGGATATTTCTCAAGTAGTCGTAGTCTTCTATCACCGGAAGATTGGCAGCATCGCAGGCCTGGTGCGGGTATGATAAATATAGCATGAAATGGTGAAATGGACGCGGTGGGGACCATACCGAGCAGTACGCAACAATGTGCCATTTCTTAGTCGCCACAGCCCCCGGCAGCTGAACTGTCATGGAACGGGTTTTCTTGGTGAGGCCACCGACTTTGGAGGGGCGGTCCTTCCGCCTTGGAGGCGCCGGAATTGGCTGGGGCGACTCGGACGCCTTCATAGCGCTACGACACGGAATTAACGAAGCCAACGGGAGAGTACCGCAAAACTTGCCGTCGAGCAGCCTTAGCCTGCCTTTCTGTGAATGTTGCCTCTATCTTTTCTTCATAGACGAGCCAGTCTCCGCGCATCTTACTTTGCGACCTGAGCAGGGAAAGAGCTTTATCACCATCGGGATTAAACAGCCAGAGCATACTCACCATCGTCGCCCCTCTGTCCAGCGTACCAAGCCGTCCTCGCACTCTGACTCCTCCCATACAAAGACGTTCCCGCTCCGCAGCTGCTCCCGCTCGTCGGGAACGAGCCGCCGCTTGATGAGAGGGAGAATATTTAATCGGACAGCCTCGAGCACACGGTGTACATCGGCGATGTCCCGGATATCTGGTGCATCCGGGATAAGTGTATGCAGTATGCGCTCTAAAGAAGTGAGAGGTACATACGAAGTGCGCTGTGTGTAATGTATGACGCTCTTTTTGGCTGGGGCATGCTGAATTCAGACCAGAAATCAGCCGGGGGGGAGATATCGATTATATGCGAGATAGAAGACCCGGAGAGCTTAACTGGTTGGCGCGGACAATCATTCAAAATAACGGATCCATGGAATAGAGTTTACGTCATTATTGGTTGCGGGATGAAGAACGCACACGAAGCCGAATTTCCGAGGCGGAAGCAGAAGGCGTCGCTAATTTAAGGATCAAGGATGGAAAAGATGGATTGCGTGAGGGCGCGAAGATCAGGATTGTCGTTTAAGGCTGATTATGGTTTGATACTTCAGGATATAGGCCGTGCGCGATTTCATTGGGCCGGGAATGGCCATCGGTGGGCTGTCCGGTGCGCACTGCACATTCACTCCAAAGAATGTTCAACCCCCGCAGAAAATGAGCGGCAATAGATGTCTTACGGCGCTCCAGCATTGTCTGGACTTGGAAGCGTCCAGTTCGAACAGAATCATGGCATTAACGATGTCCCGTGTCCGAGGACTTACTCGGAAGTGCTCTTTTCGACACTATGGAAGGACACTAGTTGGGGTCTCGAGCCCATGTGTCAACCGTGTCCGGCGACAAAAACGGATCATGCAACTAAGACCCGGTGGAATCCATCAGCTTGGGCTACACTCTCCAGACAACGGAATTTGCGAACCTCGTTGCACGAGTCCCTCGACCAATCCACGCACGAACCTACGATCCGGTTGCAGGTGTGCAAGAGGTCATTGTTGGTAACGCGCTGCGCAGAATCATTTTGGGCGCTAGAAAGGTGATATCTTCGCCGTTCGGCATCTCTGCAAGGCCATCCATTGGACGCAGAATGACACTGTGGCGCCATTGTGGCGCGACAGCAACCACGAGATATGACGAGACAGAGGTGGTCACATTATGTCCGAGATTTCATGGCCTAGGGGGAAAGATGAGCCCGCTTATATTTAGAGAACCAGACAATAGACGGACTTGAGTTTTAGACGGGTCAAAGCAGAAGATAAGACAAATGTGCGTGTTCATGGTAGGATTTTAACTTTTGCGTGCGAATTGGCTTGAAACCTCCAAAAGGGCCAGATGAAGGGCCAGATGAATAGTCCGAAGACAAGGGACGGCCCACGAAGATCATCACGCATCTTTTTTGGAAATTGCGGCTCCGTCAACGGAACTCCTGATGCGCACCGTAAACCCGGAAGATCGTAACAGTTAAACGACGAGAGTGTATGGTGGTGCCTGAGCGCTATCGTCAAGAAAATCTTCGGAGCTTTCAACGGTGGACATGAGGAAACCCGACTGGAAAGGGCGGTGGGATTCCCCGGGAAGGGAAATTTCCCGCAACATCAACTTAATATAATCTGCATATGATATTTTGGGGAAGCAGAAGCATTTTGGCAATAAATATGGGCAAAAGGAGCTGTAGAGCATCACACACAGATAGCGACTTGACTTGACTTTATTCCATCGGAGGTCCCACCAGCAACTTAAAAATCGAGGTCAGAGTGACGTCGAATCGGCAATCATCGGAAGCACCGGCGTGTGCGAATTCGCACCGAACTGCCGATTTCATGATGGTGTTTTGGATGAAATGCTCGTCTATCCTCGTTTCATTTTGACTTCCGAGCTGTGCCCCATATTTCGAGAGTGGTTTTATGCAAAATATCTCAGTAAAAATTTACTTATCTGGGGACTCTCACCCGCTCCATGGCAGAACACTGATGATTTGTAGCAGGACTCCGCTAAGAGAAGTTGCGCCACTTACGCGGTCGCACAATGAGTCGTATTCCTGTCGCCGCACATGCGCATATACCGACAATGCCGTTCGGTTCACAGGCTGTCGCAGGTACACGAGGAGGGGGAGACCCAATGCTCCGCATTCATGTCGGGCTTACGCGGGTGTCATAATCGGCCTGGCGTCTTGGGCCCGCAGATCTCCCGCTGATCGCTTTGAATGGAAGCTCTACGGTTATTCGGCGGAATCCACTGGGAAGAACGCGGTAAGAATCAGAAATCAGAAACGTTCCGTTCCTATGTTCCAAAGGGAGGGCGAACTTTAGCCATATACGTGTGCTAATTTCTGCGCGTTCAGGAGTGGGAGGTTTACTGCACATAGTGGTGAGTCGGTGCAAGGACGAACTGTATATCAGTTCAACTGCCTTCAAATGAGGCTAGAGTGTGCGACAAGCCGGTGCATTTGGGCCGTTTGGGTCCAAGACCGACTGATTCCCCATCGACTCTCCTGCCCCCGCTCGTCGTCTCCTCCTCGCGCATGTCGAAGAGGGAGGGTGTTGTCTTCATCGTGTCCTCCCGCTCACCTATCTCCTCTTTTCGGGCGGGAAATCGGGGATGGATGCCGAGTTGATGGAGGAGATGGAGGAGCAGGAGGAGAGGATGAAGACGACGCCTTCGCGCTTTGAGGTGCGCGAGAAGGAGGGGATGAGCGGGGACAGGAGGATTTCCAGAGAGGTGTTGGTGGATTGGATGTGGAGTTGGGGTGTGGGGCCGTCGGGATCGTGGAAGAGGGCGTTGTGCCCATGATGCCGCCGGTCTTGCGGACGGAGCGCAGCAAGAGCGCAGCATGCGGGTACGCTCATCGCTGGGCAGCAGGTGTCGTGGGCGGCTTGATACTGGCCACCATCGAGGGAGACGTGCACTGGTTGCCCTGGTGATCGATGCAATTTCATCGAAAGACAAGGAATGGCGGGAGCAGTTGAAAGACGTGGGTGTTGGTTTTGAAACTGGGTTGAAATACAAGCAGAAGGAGGGTTGGAAAATGCGAGATATGTAATAGAAAAACGTTAAAGCGCCATCTCACCACTCGGATCATGATCAGTGCGCCGATCTGTCAAATCAGTGGCAGTGCAGACATCGCGCGCGCATCAATTTCCGCTTAAGTAGGACGCCCGTATTAAGCTATATAGGGCCTCGCATCATCTGTTAATTCAGCTCAAGTCGCTGATGACAGCTTTGCTGCTAGCATCGGCTTGCACTGTGAGGGTATGTAGCTCCTTACCCCACACTTGTCTCTTCATTTTTCACGTCCTCGGTCAATATCATGAGTCGTAGCTGCAAAAGACTTACTCCCGGATAATTTCCATATCAGTCGAGTTTCCGAGTATATATGTATGGGCTTCTAATACAGTGCACACATTTCTTTATGGCACCGGCCGGTACATCGACTCACTTGGCAGAGAAGCAAATATACCGCTGAAGGCTTGGTAGCGCCGGGCGCATCTGCAATTAATTGGTCGCGACTGGCAGTACAGCAGAAGGAGCGCGCTCGACTCACATTATTCGCTTCGTCTTTTTTCTTTTTTCCTTCCCAGTTCCAATTCAAATTTCAGCTAACGAAGTCGAGCCCCAATACACTACTTTCGAGGCTTGGTAGCGCTTGGAACGCATCTGCATTGTATTGACGGTAGGTGTATATCCATGGAAGAGCGAGCCCGTTCGACTCGGGCCCAAGCCATTCCTCCTGGGAGGTTTTTTTTTGAGTGGTTCTCTGGCTGTCTGGCTTTCTTATGTATACCTCAACTACGTACGCGGGCGACTTTGGAGCCAGGCCAGGAACAAACTGGTTATTTCATGGAAGGAGTCCGGTGAGAGGCCTGCCTTTTCTTCTTCTCCCTTCCTTCCCCAATTCAAATTTCAGCTAATGAAGTCCAACTCCAGTACACCTGTATCAAGGCTTGGTAGCGCTCGAAGCGCATCTGCAGCCCATTAAGTTGTTTTGTATGGTCATAGCAAAGCGAGCCCGTTCGACTCGGGCCTGAGCTATTCCTTCTGAGGAGCACTTTTTGGGGAGGCATTTGATGGCTTGCTTGCTTTATTATCTTTCTCTGGAGCCGTTATACTGAATGGGTATGCAGAGGGAGCCCGCTCCATTCGTGAACTGAGATCGCAATGGTTTTTCTTCTTTCTTCCTTGCGTCCTGAGCCCCACCTCCAATTTCAGCTAATGAAGTCGAGCCTGATACACTACTTTCGAGGCTTGGTAGCGCTCGGAGCGCATCTGCAGTTCATACGACAGCCATTTGCATAGATAGCAGAGCGAGCTCGTTCGACTCGGGTCCAAGTCATTAATTTCCTTTCCGAAGTGTTCCGTGGCTTTCTTTCTTCTGGGGTAGTCGGAATCTGACAGAGGAAGCCGTTCGACTCCATTCTTGAACTGGGATCGCAATGATTTTTCTTCTTTCTCAAATCCTTTAATTTTCGCTCCAATTCAAATTTCAGCTAATGACCTCAAGCCCCGATACACTGATATAAAGGCTTGGTAGCGCTCGGAGCGCGTCTGCGGTTCATGTTGTAGTCGTGAGCGTGCATAGCAGAGGGAGCCCGTTCGACTCGGGCCCGAGCCATTCCTCCGTAAGCATTTTTTGGAGGGTTCTCTGGCTTTCTTTCTTTTTTCTGTGTCTGTGTACCTCAACTACCGAGCTGAGGGTGGCTATGGGATGGAGCGAGTCAAAACGATTCGAATGCAGGTAATAAACTTATTCTCCCTTGCATTCTTCCCTCCTGACTATTCACAGCACATTGAACCGCGGTACAGCTACATTTGGAGTCCAAACCATCTTCGTCACTTCGTTACTTGGCTTAGCGTAGTGAAACTTTGTAACTTGGGAATCGGTGAAAGTTCATGAGTATGGCATTCTGTGAAAGTTCGTGAGTTTGTATTCCGGGCTTGTCGAGCGGCAACTCTTCGGCACATCACGGAGTGATGGGAATCATCCGTTGCTGAAATGGCTGGTTAGTTTTGGGTTAGCTGGTTAGGGGTTAGAGATTAGTTGGTGACGCGCCTCGCGTCCCGCTGCATCCGAAATAGCATCCCCGATCATCCCGGTTCGCTTCCACCTTCATGCCGCGCCCCTGTTGTTCCTGTTCCTTGCCCCTTAATTTAGCGATACATTGGTACCTTTCATTTACCCCTATTGTACTAAGTATATATCTTGTACTTCTGCACCTCATCCAAGACAATTTGTTCCCCCCACGTTTACGCCCTCGCTTCGCTTCGTCCCTCGTCGCTCTCGTGCCCGGCCCTCGTCGTTGCCGCGGTCGCAAGCTCCCTGAGCTTTGTTGTCCCAACTCGCCTTTTTATATTCCTTCCTTCTGTCTTGCTACACGCTTGCACAGTCGGTTGGTTCGTCATTTTAGTGGTTAGGGTTAGCAAGGGATCTGTATAAAAAAACACGCCCGGCCTTGTTGAAGCAACAATGATGGCCGAGATTCCGGGTTCTTGAACGTGCCGCTAGTTGAACTGACGAACTTTCACACAAACCAGGCAATGTGACGAACTTTCAGATAATACCATCAAAGTGACGAACTCTCGCAACGCTAAGCGAAGTAACAAAGTGACGAAGGTGGGTACGACTCGCTACATTTGGGGTAATTTCGCTAACCGACTCGCTTTACAGGGAGGCAGATATACCGCTGAAGGCTTGGCAGCGCTTGGAGCGCATCTGCAATCAATGGTGTCATAAAGAGGAAGGCAGTACAACAGAAGGAGCATGTTCGACTCTTGTCCAAGCCATTCTATGATGGTCGCCTTGATTCAGTCGAGACTGTGGCAAGAAAGTGTGTAAGAACAAACCGGCAATCCGAACTCTCCCAGAGAAACTTGGTTGGTCCAGTGTATTTTTGAGGACCGAAGAAGTGAAGGCGGGACCCTAGATATTTGGAATTGAACTTTTTTGAAGTTCCGATGAAGAGAAGGCGAGTCAGGGATATTCATACGGCGAGAAGGAAAGCAAGAAGCCTGCATAGATCATGGTGGCTGGCACGATTCCATGAAGCATTATTGAAGGCTTAAAAGTAAGCCGGAAGCTCGGATGCGTGTCGGGATCAACTTGAACCCATCCAGTGTTCTTTTCCCACCCACTCCCATGCCAGACCGCACGGACGTGGTGGTTAGGAGATACTTCTTACAGAAGTTGCGATAATTGCACCTCAAGTGGCCCCGAAATGAATTGTATCCCACACTCATCCTGCCATTGCCGTTCACAGTCACAGGCTGCCACCGGTCCACAGGGGAGAAGAGGGCTCACGGCAGGGTGCCATAATTTGCGAGGCGCGCGCCAGGCTGGCAGTTCTCCCACAAAAACGTTTCATACACCTCTATGTTTGATTATGTCTTCATAGCGCATCATGGCATGTGTACTGTGGCTCCTGGGAAGAATAAATCTAAAACCTGGTACTGTCGGAAAATAAGAATAAGCAATGTTCCACGATCGCTACCAGAAAGTCGGTTGCAGTAGCAGACGCGGACTTACTAATTTCCGGACCTCTAGGAGGGGTTCTCCGAAGCAAGAAGTCCGAGTCACGGGAGGTTCTGAGTCGATGCGCCAACTGGAACTGGATACCGGTTCCAGACACTGCATTCAAATGCGCCAACGTGCCCAATTAGAAATGAACGCCCGTTGTACTTCGTCATGGTGGACTACATCATTTAAAGCCATCCTAAACCGCGAGAGCATAGAGCTTCGAGTATTTGCTGCTCGTCCCAGCTAGCGACCCGACACAGAGACGTACGAGACCGTCTCGCAGAAAAGGATGATAATCGCGATACGAAACATCGGCAAGACTGGCTAGCCCGAGGACCACCCAAAGACTTTGGTTAATGTGTGATCGCCGTGACTGCGGCAGAGTCCAGCTAGGTCTTCGCAAGCGGAAGTCCACCCGAGTCGTACTCGCATACGCCCGGAACAACGGAATTACCTACTTCCCAAGCCGAGCACCTGCCCGAGATCTGCAGCTGAGGTAAAGATGAATGATGGTTCGGAAAAAGAAAAGCTCCCGGGCTTCTGGATTCATTAGTAATTCGCGCTTCGAGGTGTGTGAGGAGGAGGAGATGAGCGGTGGCAGGAGGATCTCCAGCGAGGTGTTGGTGGATTGGATGTGGAGTTCCGGTTTAGGGCTGTTGGGGTCGTGGAGGGCGTGGTGCCCATGACGGCGCCGAGCTTGTGGATGGAGCGCAGCATGCGGGTGCGCTCATCGCTTGGCAGGAGGTTCGTCGTGGGCGGCTTGATAAGTACTAAGCGGCCACCATCGAGGGAGAGGCGACAGGAAGAAAACAAGGGCAGATGATGGAGGCTTGCACAGGTTGCCATGGTGACCAATCCAATTTATCAGGAAAGACGGCAGCTCTTGAAAGACGTAGGTGTTGGTTGAAACTAGGGTGAAATGCGAGTAGAAGGAGGGTCGGAAAATGCGAGGGATGTAATAGAAAAACATTAAAGCGCCCTCCCGCCACTCGGATCAGTGCCGATGTGTCAAAATCAGTGGCAGTGCAGGCATCACGCGCATCAATCTCCGCTGAACCCGCCCCTATTAAGCTGTATAGAGCCTCGCATCATCTGTTAATTCAGCTCCTTCCGGAAAGATAAATTTGGCTGCATCTAAGTCGCTGATGAGAACTCTTCTGCCAGCATCCGCTTGCACTGTGAGGGCATGTAGCTCCTTACCCCACACTTGTCTCTTTATTTTTCACGTCCTCGGTCAATATCATGAGTCGTAGCTGCAGAAGACTTACTCCCAGGTACTTTCAGACCATATCGGTCGAGTTGCAGAGTATGTATGTATGAACTTACACACATTTCTTTCTGGCACCGGCCGCTAACCGACTCATTTGGCAGGGAGGCAGATATACCGCTGAAGAATTGGTAGCCCCGGGCATCTGCAATCAATTGTTGAGAACACATCATCGCAGTACAGCAGAAGGAGCGCGTTCGACTCGCGTCCAAACCATGTGTCAGCTGTCAAAATATTTTTTCTTCTTCCCTCCTTTTGCCTCCCACTCATGAAATGCTAATGAGTTCAAGCCCCGATACACGGATAGCAAGGCTTGATAGCGCTCGGAGCGCATCTGCATTGAATTCGTGATATCGTACAAGTACAGCAGAAGGAACGCGTTCGACTCGCGTCCAAGCCATTGTTTATTTGGGTTGCCACTTTTTCCTTCTTTCTTTGTCCTTCTTCCTTCCTTCCTTTGGCCCAATTCTACAGTGAACTCGAGTCTTGCGTCCCAATGCATTGATATCTAGGCTTGGTAGTGCTCGGAGGGCATCTGCATTGAATTTGATGGTAAGTGTATATCCATGGTAGAGCGAGCCCATTCGACTCGGGCCCGAGCCATTCCTTCTGAGGGAACACTTTTTTGGGGCGCGTTTGATGGTGTTTTTCCTTAATATCTTTCTCCGGACTGTTATAACGAATGGGCAAGCAAGCAGAGGAAGCCATTCTTATCGGGAGAGTCGCAATATTTTCCTTTCTTGCTTCCTCCTTCCTTCCTTTTGCCTCCCACTCATGTAAAGCTACAGTGAACGCAAGCGTTGATACACCAATATCAAGGCTTGGCAGCGCTCTGAGCACATCTGCTGTTCATGAGGGTACTTTTCGTGTTACCGAGTCATTTTTCTTGGGATGCTCTTGGTGTGTAGTTTTTTTTGGGGGTTCTCTGTCTTATTTCTTTACTATATTTCGCCGAGGTCGTTATAATGAATGAGTATGCGGAGAGGGCCTGTTCGACTCGGTTCTTGAACTGGGATCGCAATGGTTTTTCTTCTTTCTCAAATTCTGCGAGTTCCAATTCCGCGCAATGCTAATGTACTCAAGTCCCGATACCTAATTTCGAGGCTTGCTAGCACTCGGAGTGCATTTGCAGCTCACGAGATTATCATTCACCGATATGTTCTTAGCAGGACGAGCCCGTTCGACTCGGGTCCGAGCCATTTTTTCTTGGGTTGTTCTTGACCGCAGTTTGTTGTGGAGGGATTGTCTGGCTTTTCGTTTTGTGTACTTCAACTACTGCACTATTTCGACCAAATGTTGAGGTTATGGGTCGTGAACTGAATACTTTTGGTGTGGATGGTGACGGCGAGGTTTTGAGGCCCAAATAGGCTTGAAAATGCGAAGATTTTGCGTCTGGCAGCATGTACGGGATTCACTGTCTACGTTAAGTTACATGTAGCTACATGATTTAGACGGACCTTCGGCGCGCTTGAGTTACGTCCGGCTACGTCTAGCCACATAGCGTAGGCACGGTCGGGCTACGACGCACATAGACACCTCGACCAACTTCATAATGCGGTGAAACACTGGATTTGGGAGCAGGAGCGGAAATGCTGATGGCAAAGTGGAGATCTGAAGGGCAGTTGAACAACTAAACCCCTAAAACCAACCAACCACTACCACAACACTCTCTATTGGGCTACTCTCAATATCCTAGCGCGCAAGTTCGGGGATTCCAACCAAGTATAGGCTGTGGCAATCTGAACTAAGCTGCACAAGTTGTGGGACAAACAAAGCTTGCTGATCAAGCTAAACTGTTTAATGACCTTCTAAGCACTCAATGTAGTGTGAAGAG